TAGCTGATGTGGATTCTCTTATATATCCAGTGGATGCTCTTACATACCCAAACAACTAGCTTATCAAATCTGGGTCAGAAAACCCTCAGTAATTCTTGATTCAGAGAATCCCCCATACTAGCGATTCCACCTTCAAAAAAATGTATTAAACACTATTTACATAAATATAATTAAATCACTAAAGTTCCTGTTTCAGCATGCAATGATGAGCATCATGAGCATACCATCCAGCCAAGCATGGTCACCTATGCTGAATTGGAAGTCCTGACCATGTCTGGTGAAATACTTTGAAGTACCATCTCCCTAGTAAACACCTAACAATAGACTCTATATAAGAATGATCCCAATGTTGAGAATGAAATTTTAGACAGTTGTAACAGCCCCTGGCCCGGTGCCATTTCAGATTTTTATAATCCTTGGCACGTTGCCCTTGAAATACTATCTAACCACTCAAACAACCGGCCAGCTACACCCCAAGCCTTTCCAACAAGATCTGACCTATCTATGGGAAAGGTGATCTTTGTCTCTACTGGTGCTCTCTTGTTATGGATACCATAGTGGTTACAATGATTTTACATAGCATTTGAACACTTTCTTTTTTGTCTCAGTATCTTTTTTGTTGCACATACCTTTTTTTTGCTGTGTTTGCCAATCAGTGACCAAAAAAGATATTGCATTTCTTTGGCTTCATTCAGTTATGCCTTACCAAAGCCTCTTGAACAGGTGACCCAGTGGGACTCTCTCCATAGGAAAGGCTTATGCATCAAGCCCCAGTTTTGGCATGATTGGGAGGGATATTCAGGCTGGTTCAGGCCAAAAATTCATCAAGCCCACTTTTATAAAAAAAAATGGGAGCACAAAACAAAAATCCAAATACACAGTTTTAATTTATGTCTCTAGATGCCTCCTGCCCACATTCTACACCTTCATTGTCCTCATGGCTCCAAGATTGGCTGCTCAAGCATCAACAAAAGATGAAGGAACAATCATGAGTCAATGCTTTATTTGCATCGTTTGATGCAGATAAACAGCTACTGCAGCAAGTGGCATCTGTCAGTAAGGTCCTGCCCACCAAAATGGATTTTTTTAATAATCTGCTCCAGATCTAGGGTGCTGAGTGCCTTCTGCTGCCTGTGTAGACATTTAATATCCCTCTTTCAAGGTTTTCCCACAAAAATTGATTCATGTCAGGTATGTGGGGAAAAAGTGAGCTGGGTTTTTAAAAAAGTAAAAAAACCTCCCTGCAAAAGGGTACTTTCTGTTCCAGCCAAAATTTAGACTGTCCAAGTGATTGTTGTAGTGGGCACTTCGCACCCAGGCAGGGACTTGTGATACGTTGGCCCAAACGTGCTTGATCCCAATGCCCAAATTTGGTGTTGCCCCAACTTAATTCAAGGCCCACAAGACATTGGGGGGCTGGGATTAAAATGCGCGGCAGCCGCAGGAGTTCATTTGGGAATACCCTGGAAGTCTCAAGAGGGTTTCAGGGTTAAGGTTCGAGTCTTCCTCCATATGTAGATAGCCGATCAACTCGATATTCTTCTTGATCGTCTTCCATCACTTCCAACACCTTGAAAGTTTCATCCCTAACTTGGCAGACATTCAGGACCAGGATACCTTCAACAGATTCTCAAAGCATCAACATCAACCATGGCGGATTCAGAAACCACCAACTCAATCCAATCAACTGGTGTGTATAGTGCAACTCATCTCATCCAGTTCTATTAATGTATTTAGTACCATCTTGACCGAAAATCTTTCACCCATCGAGATCCGATTTTGTTTTTTTGGAAACCATACGTATTACATACATGATTGGTCCTTATTTCGTTCGATTCTATGGGGTTTATCTTGACCCCAATCAGATTAAACATTGCTGAAACCACCGCTGAAGCCACTATCCTCCAGCAGATGGTTTTGGAGTAGTGCTACCGAGTTCAGTTTCTGAACCGGAGCAGCTTGCTGAACCCGGTGTCA